TTGATTTGCGTCAAGCTGGGTGGCCCGAATTTAAATATCAGTGCGTGAACTCAAACGCGTGGTTATTAGAGTTCAGTCGAAATGTACGTGAATATTGCGATCGAAGTGCGCTGTCCAGAGTTTATTATATTATAGTAAAATTTAACTTGACGCATGGTATGGTTTATACTGCATGTTCACTTCATTTCGAATAAAAAAATCACCATTGGAACATTGGTGAATCACAAGTATTTAAAATATTTTCTCGACTTTCCGTAGATACCCGACTACTATCATTTTTAATGATTTAAATGCGCCAATGTTTATGTTTGCGTAATTATTACGAATGCAACGCATTATCAAGTCGGTAATATTGAAATATTCACAGACCCAATACCCCGGGTCAGTGCCCTAACAATAGTAAAAATTAACTTGAGTTTGCGTAATTATCATGAAAGCAATACATTTAATACAAAGTTGAAATATTCAGAGCTGGTACAATATTGTAAACAAATTTGCGTAATTAGAAAAGCAGTACACTAAGTAAACGACGTTGATATATTCAAAGCCAGTACAGAGTTGCATACAAGTTGTGTAATTACAGTACCTTCGGATTATAATAAAAATTTTACTAGATCGACGCGCGGACCGCAAAAGAAAAAGGTTGCTAAGGTAACGCACCAGTTCAGCGCGTGACTTGGGGTCAAACTTCGGTCAACACCATGTGGGTCAACACACACTTGATCACCGCGCAGCAAGTTTCGCAAAGAAGTACTTCAAGTTCATTTGCGTCCCAAAATTATGACGCTAATCACTCAGTTGTCGCAGCGTGTGTTGTGTCATGTCCATGATGCACCCCGTTTCGACTTTGACTTGCTTTTCCTTCTTAGTGCATGTTCTTGTTCACGTAAAATGCGACCTCTCACCAATGTATTAAAACACTTTGAATTTATACTTTGCATGATTATATTTGGTCAACGCGAAACATTATTTTTTCTAGACCATTTCTATCAATGCAGGGTTATTTTTTTAGACAAGATGGGCCTCGTAATATCTGCCAAAAGATCGCCCGGGCGATCTTTTGGTCCATATTTTTCTAAAAAAAAATCGAATCCTCCATAAGATCGCCCAGGGCGGGGTATCAGCCGAATCCGGTAAATGTTTTTTTTTTCGCCAGGTGACAGTTCCAGACATTGAATGTCACTGTTGTCTCTCCTGACTTTTTTTTTGTATGTGCAACTTGCAAGTGCTAATGCTGACACATAGTGCATTTTTGCCACAGAAGTCATGCTATGGATGACAAACTTTGTTTAGTTGTAGGATTGCACATCCTGTGTTCACTAACTGTCTCCATTGGAGCAACATGATATGTGACATGATAACCCTTAGTATCCTAAAATTCACTATACATATTATTGTTTGGTTTAAACAGGCTTCCCTGTATTTGTATTATATTTATTTGGGAAATAGATGAACCTTACAAACAATTGGTCAGCGAGATCAGTTTTAGGGTGAGGGAGCCACAAAACTTGTTTTCTCTCTCAAAATGTGTTTTATTCTTTCTCGTCATCACATCCATTGTTTTCCTGACCCATGTAACCAAGATTTCTGAAATAGTCACAATGGGGGAGAGAGTAGAACAGGGGCAAAAACAAATGTTGCAGTTGATTCAAAAACAACAACCTGTCAGCAAATAAGCTGCTCTTTGATTGGTCTTATTGTTGTGTGTTAGAGTTGATTAGCCAATCAGGCACAATGTTTCATGTAGCTTTGCATTGACTCGCTCACTCTCAGTGGTCATTTGTTTTTAGGGTCTACTGTAAAATATATGGAATTTATTTTCTTTAATTTCACTGAAGGGATGATTCAGTGAAAATAATATCCAGTTAATATACATGTACCCTTTTTCCTGTTTGTTACACTCAACTCATCAAAAATCAGCGAAAATAAATAAAAACAAAACCCCAAAGGGCAAGTTGGTAGGGTCACCAAGCATCATGGTGAGGTCACAAAGTATCATTGTGAGGTCTCTGAGTTGAGCTCAAATGAAGTTTATAGGGCACAAAATCCAGAGCCATAAAGATTAAAAATACCAATTCATTGACATATATTGCTGTACTGAAATCTTCACATAGCAGATAAAGATTTGAAACATTTGTTTATTTTTGTTTTCAGAGCCTGATCTAGGGATGGTAGAAAAACAAGCTCACAAGTTTTTCTCCCAGTTAATAGATGGTGTTGATTATTTACATTGTAAAGGTGTGACCCATCGTGACCTCAAACCAGAGAATCTTCTCTTGGATGAATTTGGTATGTATCAATGTGTGTGTAGGTGCTGGAAATCAACCTACTAATATGAATTCAGCTCAACTAACTGTGGTATTAGCCTGGGTAACAGATGGTCATTCCGCTGGTTACTCACTCTTTTCTGTAGTCTGGAATTAGTGGTAACCATGGCAATGATAAAAGTATATAGCATGCTGCTAATCTGAGTATGCTTATGGATGACAGTTAATAATTAACTCTTCACATGGATTATAATAACATAGTTGCCACAGCAACAAAAAAGTGACTGTCCCATTTGCAAGTGCTATATATTAAAAATATACATTATCTGTACTCAAAGTTTATACTCAAATACTCATGCAAACACCCATACACAAAAAACTCAATCATTTCAGTAGAAATACAAAAAAAAACATGCAAGACAAACACATATACAGTATAAATAAAATGTACCATTGTATACTTTAATGTGTCACATGCTCTTCAGGTTCAAGTTCTTTGGTTGTTAGGTTGCTGAGTGCATGTCATGACAAAAAAAGGGGGGGGGGGTTAATGATCTGCCATCTATGAATCTGTTTGTCTAAGTGTTCCACAAGTTGAATATGTTGTGTGCTGTCTTCCAGAGGTATCTTTACAAATGTACAAAAGGATACTGAGATGTACTAAATTATATTTAGTCCAATTTTCCTCTCTGTGTCCTCTCTGTTTTCCTCTCTGTGAACATTTTGTATACTTTCAAAGGTACAATGCAATTTGGATGTTTACAAAAATAGAACTACTTGGAAAATTGTGCTTGATTGGCTACCCATCCCAAATATCGCCAAAACAGTCAGACCAATCAGAAAGCAGCTTGTTGTTGACACGCCTTGCCTTGTTTATGTGCTTTGCCTCAAAACAGCCTCACTGAAGCTGTTATATTAAAATATCTACCTGAAACTCTGTATTCCTACTGACTGAGCGTGAATCAACGTTTTCTTTGCACAATCAGGGAATCCTAAACTACCGTAAAAACTCTAAAATTTCACCCACTCTAAAAATTTAACCACCTACCGGTAATTATTTGGCGTTTTTTGTAATTTATTGATCCCCAAAATTTTTACCACACCAGAAATTGCTCACTTATTTTTACTCAAAAGATTTGTTTATAGACATGACTTTCTATAACTATTCTATTTCTGCAACTGTATACTGTAAAATGACTAATTTTCACTGGGTTTAAATTTCGCTGAACTACCATTTCAGGCATATTCAGTGCGTTTTAAATTCACAGTTTTATCATTTAGATAATGTGTTCTATGCTAAATTTTACATATTCACTGCGTTTTAATTTAGCGCATTTTCCAGTCAGTGAAATAAGTAAAATTAAAACCCAGTGAATAATTAACCCTTTTATAGTATAACCCAACTTTTATATTTGTTGATTGTTCACTCTAAAATACTCGACAAATTTATTGTTATTTTGTATTCTAAAAACCCAGTTGCTTATCAAAACAAATTATTTAAAAGTGGCCAAAATTTTGGAGTTTTTATGGTAATTACTAAAATAATATTGTCGCCTATGCTAAAACAGACAGACATATATCACTGTGGAATACTTTATTTTCGCTGGAATTAATTTTCGCTGAAAAGGCTTTTTGGGCGTTTTGTATTGAATTTATTTTCACTGATTTCTGATGAGTTTAATGTGAAATATAGGAAAAAAAGTATATTCACTGGTTTTTATTTTCACAGAATCATCCCTTCAGCGTAAATAGCAAAAATAAATTCCAAGCGAAAATAAAATATTCTACAGTTGTATACTCTTAGCCATCGCCAGGATTGAAATAATATTTTGTTTAATACCCTGGTAGACCAGATTCTCCTGTGTCCTTTCTATTTTTTTATAGAAATTTAATATTTCATAATTTTTTCACACAGAAAATCTTAAGATTACAGACTTTGGTTTAGCTACTGTTTTCCGTCACCAAGGTAAAGAGCGGTTGTTGTCACGTTGTTGTGGAACACCGCCATACGTAGCACCGGAAGTGTTGAAAAGAAAAGAGTATCACGCTGAGCCGTCCGATATCTGGTCATGTGGTATTATATTAGTAGCAATGTTAGCTGGTGGTAAGTTAATTCTTGTCACATTAAAAAACATATGTGTGTAAAACTAACAATACTATGAGATATTGTGGTTATTACGAGCATACCGCAAAGAATCCAGCAGAGGCAAGATGGCAACCATATTGACTGACATGTAGTGGAGGTCGATGTGTTCCTGTACTGCCTGAATGCATACTTTGCGGTATTCTTGTGATAACTTTATTATTACATCTTTTTCCAGCTTTTAATGAGAGATAACGGCTTGAAATTGCAATGAAGAGCATTTCATTTTGTTCACACTCAATGACGAGATCCTATTTTCGTCATCTCACTGAAAGCACTTCTGCCTTTGGAGTAAACAAAGCAAAGTGTTTAAATGTAATGCAAACGTGATGTACAATTTCCAAATTAAAAAGACAATCAAACACTTTCAAACATCTGTAAAGCGTTTTACGGCCGGTAAATTCTATTGTTTTTGGTGTCAAATGTATAATAATAGAGAATACAGGGACAGATTGGCATTTTGAGTGACGTCTCTTGGTGCGTTGTGTTCCAATCGCAAATTTTTTGCACAATAAGTCTGTATTACCGTTTTTTACCTCTATATATCGTCTCTACGGTAGCACCATACTTCATATGAATTACTGTACGCTGTAACCTTGGTATAACGAACACCTTTATAATAAATTTTCTGATAGAATGAACGCATTGCATGTCTTCTACTCATAACAAACCCAATGTTTTACGTACTAATTGTACCCTCCCCCAAAGTGCTCGTTATAAAAAAGTCAGTGTACAAGGAGTCAACCACACAACAAACAAAAGCATTGTTGGCGTGGGTGCATGACAAGTTGTATTTTTTGTTAAATTTATTTTATGTATTATCTTTATGAGTTACATGCATTAGAAAGTCCTGACATATAAATGTTTTTAATCACGCTTTGGAACATGCTTAACACAACTTGCCTAGGAAGGAAGAAATTTTCTGTGTTTGGTATTCACTTCGACACAGCAATGAATCATGAGTACTGTCAAATGACTAATTTTCACTGGGTTTAAATTTCACTGATTTACCATTTCAGGCATATTCCGTGGGTTTTAAATTCACTGTTTTGTCATTTAGATAATGTGTTCTATGCTCAATTTTACATATTCACTGGGTTTTAATTTAGCGCATTTTCCAGTCAGCGAAATAAGCAAAATTAAAACCCAGTGAATAATTAACCCCTTTACAGTACTCATATAACATGTATAAAGTAATAACAAGACAGAAGTAAGTATTCATCAAACAAATTCCTCGATTTGTTATGCATCAAATTTTAATTAATTAATTAGGCTGCATTATAGATGTCAGTTTTGTGTGCAGTTTGATGGAAACCTCAGGATGCTAACAGCTTGATCACAGCCATATCCACATGAATGCTGAACAATGTTTCGCTGTTTGCCAACAATATCTGACTCAGATACTAGTGTCCATATTTTTACTTACTCGTATATACAATTCCCTCCATTCCAGAGTTGCCATGGGACCAGCCAACGTACGACTGTCAGGAATACTGTGATTGGTTGGACAAGAAAATTAATTTAACTCCGTGGAGCAAAATAGATACAATAGTTCTAGGTATGACATGCCATGAAATCCAAAAATAGATTTTCTAAACACAGTAATGTGAGTAATTAGGGGATCTATTCAATGTTTTATGGATTGGGAGAAAGATAGTGTTTGCAGGTCTTCATTTGTGTGAGTGATAAGCAAGAAGATGAATTTTGATTAGTCTAGCATAAAATGTGCCACATCAACACTTAAACAAAGTTGTTACTGTAAAATGACTAATTTTCACTGGGTTTAAATTTCACTGATTTACCATTTCAGGCATATTCAGTGGGTTTTAAATTCACGGTTTCGTCATTTAGATAATGTGTTCTATGCTAAATTTTACATATTCACTGTGTTTTAATTTAGCGCATTTTTCCAGTCAGGGAAATAAGCTAAATTAAAACCCAGTGAATAATTACCCCCTTTACAGTACACTGTTCAGGGCAGTCTCAACAACTATCCCAAGGTACAGTGTTCTAAGGGTTTTTAGCACTTCTTTTCACCGTAATGGTTGATATCCACCCCAAGAATACTATATACATAAATATACTATTTAAAAATCTCAGTCCAGTTAATTGGCCGAACTCTGATAACCAAAGAACAAAGCCCAAAATAGAATTAGAAAATAGACACTGTAATAAATGTAACACTAAAGCATTAGGAGATGAAAAACATTTCCTGCTATTTTGTACTGGCTATATAGAACAAAGAAAAAAACTGTTTGATGAGTGTTCAATGAATATTTACACAATGGATGTGAATTCCATATTTAAAAAGATTATGGAGAATAATATAGCTTTAGCAAAATACTTAAAGAGCACAATTTTTAAAACCACAGAAAGTAATTAATTTATTTTTTTATTTTATTTTACTAACATTTTATTTTTATCTCTTATGTATTGTATGTATTTATGTTCCTTACCATACAAAAACCCTCTGAAGGTTTTTTAGTAGTGTAATAAAGTTATTATTGTTATTATTATTGTTTACGCCAATAACTAGAAATTCTAATTGGCAAGTTTTTCATAATTTCTCTATGTTTGTTTTCATGTTTCTCAAATTTGGACAGATATGCTAATTTATGTTTCATTTCTCCAGCGTTATTGCGGAAATTACTTCATGAGACGCCTTCAAAGAGATATACTATTGCAAACATTAGAAAAGACAGATGGTATATCAAGACATTTCATACATCTAAAGGTATAGTTACATTTAAGTATTTACAATCAATTATCAATTGTTTTACATCTGTCAGTTAAAGTTAAATTTACAATGTGTCATAGTTTGAATGGGTATTTGCATCCTACCATATTAGGAAATGTGCATAAGGTATAATTTAAAGATGGTTGACATGTTTCAAAGAAAAGTTCACAGTTCATCTATGAAAGGATATGGCTAAATATTGAAACTGCTTAGAAGACATTCAAATACTAAAATTTATAAAATAAACTGTAACACAGGTGAATTTGAAAATGATTTTCACGTTCTCATTGGCTGTCCAAAAAATGGAATCTACATCAACAATTTGTCAAATATTCAAATAGAGATAAAATTTGAATATTATAGAGTATCATACTTATCTGCAGTGTATTTTAAATTGTAACCAAGGCAACTAATGCATTATTCTGGATATGGTTTTTGCAGCTCAAGGTCGTACAGCGGAAGCGCCCAAGCTTCTTAGAACTAGAACCCCTATTCAAACCCTGACCAGAACATGTAATCTCTTAATTGTGGATAGATTTCAGCTCTAAATATATCCCTGTGTTTGAAAGCTACTTGAAGTGATTTTGTTTTATAAAGGCAGTTCTCACAACATAACAGCGTCTTCAGCAACACTGTTTGTCCAAATATAGTCAAACCGGATTGAGGTGATATGGGAAATTATCAGCATGCTCAACAGGTTTTCATAGCGTTATAGGACTTGGCAATTCGAGGAATATGATTACACTTCTTCCAAATTAATATGGGTATACTGCCTTCAAGCATACATTGCAGTATTTTTGAGTATTATTACAACTATATTTATTTTATAGTGTTGTCAAGGATACCCTCCAGTACTACCCATGATTCACCTGATGGTAAACCAATTAAAAGAATCTGTACAGGAAATGACCTTTCACCTGTAGCATTCAGCAGGTATGTGTTAATTTATTTGTATTTTCAGGTGATTCAAGACGATAATTTATGTGCATGGTGCATGTTTATGAATATTTCTGCTGATATGACTGATTGAAAACATAATGCAGCTGAGCTAAATTTTCTGATGCTTTTGAAGATGAAGATAAATTGGAATTTAGAGAAAATATATCACAATCACAAATATGGATGTTTAAAGTATGCCCTCTATGTCCAACATAACAGGTGTGATGTAAGCTTAATGTCACATTTTAAAATTAAGATTGCTGATTCCTTTATTTCAAGTCTCGTCTTAAGGTAGCGGGACTATTATTTGCATACTTGTTTTCATCTTCTAATTGTGACTAAATGACTACAAATAGACCCAGGAAAGTATATATTTTTAGAATCGCCAGACTTCAAGCTTTTCACAAGTGTATTTTGCATGCCCGT